CACACCTCAGAGTGAGCGCTGAACACCTGCTGCGTAGGGGGGCTGCTGGGCGGGGGGCCACAGGGCTTCCATGTCGTGCTGGTCCCTCCATGCAGCATATCCCAGAGCTGCGGCGGCATCGTCACATCTGTCTCTGGATGCCTGGAGGAGGATGTCCTCGTCACCTGGGGGAGTATAAAAATGGTGTGAGTGTGGTGTCTCACCTCCTCTAACTTCACAAGGGGGCGAGAGGATCAAGACGAATAGTCCAAGGCTGATTCCTATGAGGTGGAGGTCAGACATGCCCCCTTTCTCCGATTCTGACACCAACCGTCCCTCCCACTGCACCTTCTCCTTGTCTGCTGAGCATTATAACTCATTGCAGTGGCCGCATAGAACTCACAGACAATACTCATGATTATGGGGGTTATTAGGGAAGTAACAGGTTACAGTTCGGGTTCAGGAACACTCAAGATACAGTTCGTCCATCAGGACAGCCTCTTCTCAGCCATGCCCACAGGCACACCTCTCTGTGGCCTGTCAGCCTCGGCCCCGCTCGGGCAAGTGTTACAAAGCTCTTTTAGCTCTGCAGATAAGTGCCCTCCTGCCAGGTGGGTCTTTGCAGACAGCCTTCACCAAGAGGTCTGTCTGAGAGACTAAACGCTCAGAGAATGTGTGGGGAAGTGGAAGCAGTGGTTCACCTGGCCCTTTCCCGGCGTCTCCCTAGGTGAGGATGCCGGAGACGGGGACTCCAGCGGGTGTGTGGTGGCTTCATGCTGCACCTTGTCCTCCCTGATGCTTATGTGGCCTGATCTTGCTCCTACACCTTTACAGGTGCCTGCTTGTAAAGAAAACAGGACACACAGATTCGTTTCCAGCACTTTGCAGTTAATAGTTTACTTTTCATCAGCTCATTAAAATTAGAGGATATTTTTTTCTCTTTTCTATTGTTGTAAAAATATATATAACACGTTTGCCAATTCAGCAGTTTTCAGGTGTTCAACTTAATGTTATCAATTTCATTAGTCATGTTGTACAAGCATTACCCTTAATTGATGCCAAGTTTCTCATCCCCATAAACAGAAACTCATTGCTTCCCAAACAATGGCTGCTCTGTCTCCCTCCCTCCCACCCCTGTAATCACCAGTAAACTTTGGTCTCTAGACATTTGCCTATTGTCGTTTCATATACGTGAGAGCATAAGATATTTGTCGTTTTCTGGTTGACTTATTTCACTCAGCATAATGTTTTCAAGGTTCATCCGTGTTGTAGCGTGTATCAGGACTTCATTTCCCTTTCTGGCTGAGTCGTTCTCAGTGTGGATGGACCACATTGTGTTTATCCATTCAGCTGTTGATGGACGTTTGTTTCTACCTTTTGGCTACTGTGAATAGTGTTGCTGTGAACATCGGCATACACGTATGTGTTTGTGTCTGCTTTCAAGTCTCTTGGGTATATACCTCAGAGTGGAATTACTGGGTTATATGGTAGTTCTGAGGAGCCCTGGTGGTGCAATGGTTAAGCGCTCAGCTGCTAACCACAAGGTTGGCAATTTAAACCCACCCAGGAGCTCCATGGGAGAAAGACCTGACAGTCTGCTACTGTCACGATTACAGCCTAGAAAACACTGTTGGGCAGTTCTGCGATGTCACGTGGGTCACTATGCGTTGAAATCGACTTGGTAGCACATAACAACAACACAACAGCGTGGTAGTTCTATGTTTGATTTTTTGAGGAATCGCCAAACTGCTTTCTACAGTGATGGTACCATTTTGGATTACCTCTAGTAATGGATAAGGACTCCAGTTTCCCCACATCCTCACCGACATTTGCTAGTTTTAGTTTTATTAATCTTAACTATCCTCGTGGTGGTGAAGTGATATCTCATTGTGGTTTTGATTTTTCTCTCTCTGATGGCTAAAGACATTCAGCATCTTTTCATGTACTTGTTGGCCATTTGAATATCCTGTGGTGAAATGTCTTTTGTTAGAGTCCTTTGTCCATTTTTTGATTGGATTGTCTTCTAGTTGTTAAGTTGTAGAAGTTTTATATAAATTTTGAATGTTAAACCCTTATCAGATATATCATTCCCAAAACTTTTTTCCAGTCTATAAATTACCTTTTCACCTGGCACCTTGTTACTGGGCCTTAGTAAAGATTGAACACTTAACCATGGGCCACCAAGGTGGCCCGAGCTGCCCATCATGAACTGGGTGTTTTCCAACCCACAGAGTCATAAAGTTGGACGTGCACAGGAGCACTCCATGATTAAATGGATGTGGTATATACGAGATGGGGCCAGAGCAGGACCCAAAGGCAAAATAAGTTGCATGGAGAAGTGGCCCAAATGCCCATGGTCTCCACTCCTGTCGTATTACCTGCCCTGTCCTAGTCTGAACCTGTGCCCTCTTGGGGAGTTCCTTATGATCAGTTGACTGAGGAAGAGAAAACTCCTGCCTGGTTTACAGACGGTTCTGGGCGATATGCAGGCACCACTTGAAAGTGGACAGCAGCAGCACTACAGCCCGTTTCTGGGACCTCCCTGAAGGACAGTGGTGAAGGGAAATCCTCCCAATGGGCAGAACTTCGAACAGTGCACCTGGTTGCGCACTTTGCTTGGAAGGAGAAATGGCCAGATGTGCGATTATATACTGATTCATGGGCTGTGGCCAATGGTTTGGCTGAATGGTCAAGGACTTGGAAGGAACATGATTGGAAAATTGGAGACAAGGATTTATGGGGAAGAGGTATGTGGATAGGCCTCTCTGAATTGGCTAAAGAAGTGAAGATATTTGTGTCTTATGTGAATGCTCACCAAAGGGTGACCTCAGCAGAGGAGGATTTTAACAATCAAGTGGATAGGGTGACGCATTCTTTGGAAACCAGTCATCCTTTCCCCAACCACTCCCGTCATTCCCAAATGGGCTTATGAACAAAGAGGCCATTGCGGCAGGGATGGAGGTTATGCATGGGTTCAGCAACATGGACTTCGACTCACCAAAGCCAGCTTGGCTACAGCCACTGCTGAGTGCCCAGTCTGCCTGCAGCAGAGACCAACACTGAGTCCTCAGTATGGCACCATTCCTCGAGGTGATTGACCAGCAGCCTGGTGGCAGATTGATTACTTTAGACTGCTTCCACATGGAAAGGGCAGCATTTTGTTTTTATTGGAATATTCACTTCTCTGGATATGGATTTGCCTTCTCTGCACACAATGATTCTGCCAATATTACGTCCTTGGACTTAAAGAATGCCTTATCCACCATCATTGTATCTGACACATCACCTGAGATCAAAGGACTCACTTCACAGCAAATGAAGTGCAACAATATTACCATGCTTATGGAATTCACTGGTCTTAAACCATGTTTTCCATCATCCCCAAGCAGCTGGCTTGATAGAACGATGGAATGGCCTTTTAAAGACACAATTACAGTGCCAGCAAGGTTGCAGTACCTTACAGGGTTGGGGCAGTATTTTCCAGGAGGCTGTCTGTATATGTCCTAAACCAGCGACCAATATATGGTGGCATTTCTTCAACAGCCAGGATTCATGGGTTCGAGAATCAAGGGGTGGAAATGGGAGTGGCACCACTCACTATTATCCCTAGTGAGCCACTTGCAAAATCTTTGCTTTCCTGTCTCAGTGACCCTATGCTCTGTGGGTCTAGATGTCTTAGTTCCAAAAGAAGGAATACTCTTACCAAGAGACACAACGATTCCATTGAACTTCAAGTTAAGAATGCCACTGGCCTCTTTGTGCTCCTCGTGCCTTTGGATCAACAGTCAAAGTGGCTGGTGTGATTGATCTTGATTATCAAGGGGAAATGAGATTGTTATTATATTATAGGGGTAATGAAGAGTAAGTCTGGAATACACACGATCCCTTAGAACGTCTGTTAGTACTACCAGGCCCTGTGATTAAAGTCAATAGAAAACTACAGCAACCTAATTCTGCCATGACTAGTAATGGCCCACACCCTTCAGGGATGAAGGTTTGGGTCACCCAACCAGGCAAAGAACCACGATCAGCTGAGGTGCTTGCTGAGGGTAAAGGGAATATGGTGGTGGAAGAAGGTAGTTCTAAATACGAGTTACAACCACGTGACCAGCTGCAGAAGTGAGAACTGTAAGTGTTATGAGTATTTCTTCCTTGTGTGTGTGCATCAGGTATTTTTGTTTGCTTCACTCATACAATATGTAAACAGGGCTAGTGCATTTTCAGTTGTATGTGTGTTAATTGTATCATATCAGGTGCTAGTATGACTTCGTAATTGTCTTTGTTTAGAGATTGTGTATGGTTTAAGGAAATGTGTACATGTGCCAGGTTGTCA